AATGAATCTATTACACAGAAAGCCATTCCGACTTGCCTTTTTTCCCATTATTAGGTAAGCTTGATGTTTCTTCCCCATTGTCTTTAACATTGAAACCAGATAACAATAATTAGTAATTAAGATCATTAACAATACAAATAAAAAGTAAGCACTCCAAAAAGAATCAAACATGCACTGGGAAAATAACTGCATGCATTTAACACGCACCACACACTGCGCACACAGAATAAAGCAGATGCAGCATAGGCTCCCTAGTCTCTAGCACAAGGAGCCAAAGTCACCATGACAAAAAACCTTGAATTATAGTTATGTGCTAGATAGTTCTGTTTTGCTATGATACTAGTGATGTAATTTACTAATTACTTGAGAATAAGCCACAGGTAAAGAATTGGTTTTAAAAATGTAATTCTTCTTTATGTTAAGGGACAAAACAAAAGAGATATTGATATTGCTGAAATCTTCAATTTACTGCTATCTTTAAAATCACAATTAGGGCCAATTCATAAAGTGTGAAAGACTCAGAAGTTGAGTGCATTAATATGAGATCTAAAAGGATAGGAAAACAGAAACATTAGCTCTTCAAATAAACGAAAATGGAAATTACTCTATAGCACCCCAGTTCATTAAACTTTAACTCTGTATCAGTCAGGAAATGAAAGGCATTTGGAATTCTAGTGCTGAGACTATTTGACATTCAGAATGGTTTATAAGTATATATTTCTATAACCAAGCAACTAAGAACATCACCTTTGTTTCTATTATTAGATACATATTGATAATTTCTCCTCTTGATAAATTAGAACATTATTGGTATAATGTCTTTTTGTTTTAAAAGCTACAAATTCGTTCAGATAACATATTCATGAAAATATATCTTGGGTAAATACATACAAGGGCATTGTATTCTTACAATGATGAAAAGAAGGGAAAGGGCACAGCCTAACTTTAAAACTCACACATAAATTCAGATAGTGAGAGAAGAGAAAAGATTCATTAAAGACTTAACAAAAATAGGTTTAAAGTTATTCTGCCAATTTCATAGAAAGTTAAAATCCAAGACCTCAACTTAGAGATCAGCATCCAATTCTCAGATTTAAGTAAATATAGTGACATGTCAATAAAATTAGATAAATGTGTTTGTGAATATATTGAATATATAATATTTTCCTCTGACAGACTCTGACATCCATTATACTGTGATTACAAAACGGAAGACCCCCAAATCCACACACCCTCCAGGGAGCAGATGCCATACAGAGGAATGGCTGTTAGACAGGGCATGGCAGGACCTGGCTTGGACAGAGAAGGGAAATCCAGAGGAAAGGGATCTTATCTAGGGGTGAAACAGTGGGAAGGTGACCACAGTCTGTGAAATGTTAGATAAATGCAGTGTTTTAGTTCCAAATGTCCTTAAAATTTGCCTCTTGAACATTTGTAACCCTTAGTCAAGAAAATAGAATTTCCTTTCTTCAGGGAAGCATAAGGGAAACAGAGCTCTCTAGGAGCGAGGTGACCACGGTGATTTATTAAGAGGTAAAGAAGCAACCAGAATGTAAAGCAAAAGCTGAGGTAAATAACGTATATATTTAGGCCAAAGATATTGTTTATGATTCTAGTATATTTGGATCTTAAAGACTATTCAAACAATTGGCCAAATTACTCTGAAGTTGATGAGATAGTCCTAAAGTATTGCTTATGAAATTATGAAATTTCATATTAACTTAATTAGAAGACACACAAACAGACCTTCCTTGACCTCTTCTCCCTCCTTTTCTACCCCCTCTTCTTCCACATGCCCAATTTCTTCGTTAACTTCTATATTTGCCAAAGTGAAAGAAAAAGACAAGACCAGGGGTCTGGTTGTTAGTTTAAAATATTAACAAACAAATTCTTTTTCATGAAAAGTGGATATTTATAACAAGAAAAGCACATGATATATTGCATTTAGACACGCCTTTGAAAGCAAATCTGTCTACTGATAATGAAACATCACAGTCACAGTGGTCCTGACTTGGGAAACAAACCATTATCCCCTAGAAGATTTGCAATATGCGGGTGGCTATGTAAGGAAGGCACAGTTCTTTACCTCTATAGGAGGCATATTATTAGGAAAATATTACATACATTTGCTTCTAGGAAGAACACCATAACATTATAAACTTTTTTTTTAATTTGGTTTTGTGAGACAGGGTTTCTCTGTGTAGCCCCTGGCTTTCCTGGAACTCACTCTGTAGACCAGACTGGCCTTGAACTCACAGGGATCCACCTGCCTCTGCAGCCCAAGTGCTGGAATTAAAGATGTGGTTCATCACCACCACCTGACCTAATAAAAACCAATTTTTACAGAATGGCAATAGAGCCACGTACGATTTGAGAAGATAGTAACCATAATGCTTTTCACTGTGGAATACATCTCACTTTCTGGAGAATTCGCATGTTACACATCTTTGTAAAGAGTTTGAAAAAACATCAACCTCAAACCCAAAATATATAATATTTTAATGAACTTAGTTACTAGACAAAAACATACTTAAACCATAGTTAGATTAGAGTTTTTTTAGTTGCTAAATGTAGAATAAATACTTCATATGTTTAAAGTAGAAATGTCATTGGTGGCAAGATCTAACAAGCATTCAGAAGGTCAAAACCTTGGACTATCAATTGATAGTTTTTTTGGACGACTGCACCCTCAGCTTTGGTTAGAGGTTAGGCACCTGCAGAGGAGGGATTCACTGTGTTCTTATAAGCTGATGGAGGTACAGGCTCATGGGTCTCTGAAGACTCAACACTAGCATGTCTGCAAATGCTGCTGCACACCAGCCAGTACCACTAAGTAATACAAATTATGAAATAAAATCATAATTAGAGATATTAATGGAAATTGTTGATGATATTTTAGTGGTTTTAATGTATTCTACCTGAAAAACCAAACCAGTAAAGACAACATCCATACAAGTCTTTGAATCTGTCAGCCTACATTTCCCTTCACCAGTTAGGATGGTTTTCTTCCATACCTAGCAGTGCACCGAATAAAGCTATCCAGACTTTATTCACTATGAAAGATTCTAAAACGGAAGCTTTAACGCTTTTGAGGGGACAAAAATGGCACACTTGTCGAATGAAAAATAGTTTAAAAGCACAAGCCTTTAGTCTTATGGAAATATCCAAGGGTTACGGCAACGCCACAGATGTCTTTCTATCCGACTGACCATGAGAGTGTCAACCACAACCGCACTGCGGTTGAGGATCATGGCAGGCGAGAAGCAGAAGCAACCACAGACGCGGATAGCCACTCAGTCACAACCAACAAGAGCGTGACTTACATCAGAAAGACAAAGATAGATTTGTGCTCTGTGCAATCCATGTATAAATTGGTTGTAAATGTGTCACATGCGGACATAAAGATGCCCATAAACATACACTTCAAGTTCTCCGCGGCAATCCATATACCATTTGAGGTACCATTTCACTTTCTAAGACCGTCTTTCATTTTCAACTCAATCAATATTTGTTCCAGTCAAGCATCATTTATGTGCTGGAGACTCAGCAGTAAAAAATACAGCCAGCAGTTTCAAAATTCTAAAACTAGCAGATTTTATTGTACTAGCAAATGTATAGCAGTCCACACACTACGACTCAGTATTTATTCTTGAGATATGATGCAGTGTTTGGTAATAAATGCATAAAAGTGTCATATTCATCCTTGATACACTCTAAGCAGACTTGCTACAACAAGTAACAGCCACAACCACTACCTAACTCAACAGCTTCTTTTGTAGGAAGTCAAAGTTAATTATAAAAAGATCATCAGAAATACAAAATGAAAGATAAAATGATAAATATAGCAAGACTATGTCTGTGCCCTCAGTGGCATAAACACAGACTGCAATTGATATCCCTGGTTATAATCTTATTCAAAATCCAGATTTTTGTTCCAAAGGTAAATTAAATGTTTTATAAGAACAAATATTATCTAGTTACTTAAAGGAAATTAAACTCTTTGAACTCCTGCATGAATCAAAATTTAATTCCAGGGTGTTTTTTCCACAGAAAATAAAATCTTAGTACTTTATTAGAAACTAGAAACGAAATAATTTAATTGTATAAAAACTATATAAGTGAAGAGACATCAATTGCAGTCGGGTTTATTTTTGTTTGCACAGCCCCCCAAAAGGTTTTTAGCACAAAACAAATCCTTCTTTATGTACAGACCTTCATAAGGGTCTATCTCCTTGACTCCATTGTCTAGGGAAACAAAATAAAATGAAAACAAAGGGGGGGGGGCGGGGAACCAAAGCATAGGTGTTAAAAACAACAGAAAATTTCAGTTATAGAATATACCGTCTATTAAAGAAAACTTAAATGGTGATTTGAGTATATATAGCTTTGAAAGACAGTTACTAAAAAGAGGGACTGTGATATAAAAGATGTGAAAATTATTCTGCTCCGTTATCCACGCTTTTAGAGAGAACTGAATCAAGATTTCTAGCTGCCTGAGAAGTGCTCAAGTGTGTCAGCTTGGCTCTAGCACATGTACAACTGAAAACATCAGCTGAACACGCACCTTTGAGTGTGCGTTCTGGTTACCTGAGGCTTACACCCCGCTTTCGAGAAGGATCACCATTGTTGCGCACCAGCTCACTAGTCCTTTGCAGTGTGTGAAAACTGATTTAGCTAGTTACTAATAAACTTGGCATAATCCCCCACAATTACATAATCCGAGATGTAGCAAAGACACTATAATCCAGCCGCTTCCAGAAGACTACTGCTAACTTTTAAATTTACTTTAGAATTTGAAATGTAAAACAAGATTGCTTCTTTTTATCTCCAAGTAAAACTTTTACATGCAATGTATATTATATTCACAAATTACTGTCAAATGAAGTCACACACACAGCTAAATACAGGGAGATATTAGCACAACGGCACTAGGAACCTCGATTCACCCCAGCTCCCCTGTGTATCCCCTATTGACATAATTAAAAAAACTAAGAACTTACTTCTCTCCAACGTTCCCTTGGGTGGGAGCTGTGGCAGCTGCCGGCCCCTCCGTCCTGTTACAGGAGTACTGGATGGACTTGTCTGGACAGACCCGGTCCGAGGGTGAGACCTACAAGACGCAGCATCAATACGTTTTCAGCAAGCGCTAAGTAAATTCGGTATTAGCTGGTTTACGTAATAGCTGTATTAGCGGGGTTTTTTAACGTGGATTGCTGCTGGTTAAAAGGAGAACAGGACAAAGTATGGACATTTGAACAGTTACTTAAACACCAAAAAATGTTTATGTTTTGGTGTAATATGAATACATACACACATACATGCACACTGAGATTGTAGTAAAACCCATGAAATTAGTGATAAAGACTCCTAATCTATTTAAGTGAAAGCAAGTAGAAAATTCTACAAGTTAATTTTAAACTTTATATTTTTTTCTTCCATAATACAAATTCTTATAACTAACCTTCCTCCTTTGACCCAATCAGATTTTTACTTTTTATACTAAATACTCATTTTTATTAGAAAACATCTCACAAATCTACTAAAAAAAAATCCTGAGCAACTTAAAAGTCAGCTAAAGAAAATTCTGCTATCTAATATTAATGCTCGTAGAAACTAATTCTGTCTAATATTTACTGTCATGATGACCATCAGAAAGGTCATGGCTAGTGAGCACAGTCATTTCGCATTCTGTGGAAGAACATGATAGTTACGGCAGGATTTACCCAGGACTCCTGATTAATGAGAAACCACAGAACAAATGCAACCCGGACAGTTGAGAAACAGAACACAATGGTGATGACACTATCATATCCGCCGGATATAAATAGTGTGTACGCACTGACACGGTTAGTATCGACTTAGACTGGTGACCAGCCAGGAATGACAGAGACCAGTTAGCTGTCGGGAAAATAAAATGGCGTGTTGGCAGAGCAGACAGGGAAGTTAGTCTGATCGATTTATCTTTCACCTCGATAAGGCAGGTGAAGGAGGGGCAGATCTTCCAGTCATTAATGAAGGCATCGACCTCATGAGGTTTGTATCAGGACGTTCAGAGGATCTGGAGCGGGTGGTGGTCCGCTCTAGGAGAGGCCGCTGTTCTGTTGATCTGGATCTGTGATATGGCTGTCTATCTGCTGCTTCACAATCCCTGAAATGTTAGTCAAAAAGCAGCTCAGTTGATCTTTAATGCCTTTCTGCTATTTGGTCATGATGCATCAAACTGATTTTGAAAAAAAAAAAAAGAATTGCTTAAAATTAATGTGTATGCAAAAAAGAATTTTTCCCAACACATCTTGAAAATTCTGACTAAGCTTAAAAAGTTCTAAAGAACCCGAGTCTGATTTTACTAGTAATTACCAGCAGCTGAATTATAACTGAGCTGCTCAAAATGGTTATAACCTTTGTAACCCCAGCTACCTGCTTTCCAAAATGAAGAAAACACGTGAACTGTGTGGGGTATCCTAGATTGAAGACATTTGACAGTGATTCCTCGCACTTTCCAGAAGAGAAAGTTATGTAGGATGTTTATCAGCAAATAGAGCAAGACACAAAGGCACTAATAGCACTGGCAGAGCACGCTGACAGCCTGACACCGTGAACACAAGGTCACGGAGAACACTGCAGAGAACTGGTCACTCCCCACTGTCTCAGGAGCTTCAGTTAGACCAAACAGCCCAGACAGCTATCGGATCAAACTGGAATTCCAACATAAAAATGAAAAACAGACCTCTCCAACCACTAAAACTCAACTTTTGTTGAAGCAAGAATACTTACACCTATATGGCCAAAAATGATGGACACATCTCTTGGCAGCTACAATAATGTTTATACACCATAATGAGATGCATAATGAGATCAATAAATGGATATAATTTGGTTCTATGACTTGGAAGACAAATCTAAAAACATTAACTTTTGCTCTAGAACTCAAAAGAAGCATATGTACCCAAATCTATTTCCAACAGCCACCTCCTGAGCCTATTACAACCCCAGTAAAGAAAGTACCTATAGATGGCAGGGAGAGCAAGCAATGTCACAACTGGTCCCACTTTACCTAGAAATACACTCTGATTTTTGAAAATGAAAAAATGGGCAATTGGAGAAAAGTAAGGAGACGAAAGGACACACTATCCTCAGTGTCGTGAATTAAATGTCATGCAGTATGGAAAACAAATTCTATTAGAAAAAGTACCAGATTTATCCTATATTATTTCATATCTTCAATAATACTTTAAAGTCAGAGAATAAAACAGAAGTAAAATCATTTTAAAACCTTTTACTATTGAATCAAACTGTGACTTTATGTCAAGTTCAATATGTTTACATAAGTTCATCCAAACATGGGAAGGGCTGGAGAGCATGCTCGGCATAGAGGACAGTGTCACGATCAAAAATGTCATAATGTTCATACACATTTGATTACAATTAAAAGGATGAATTAAATGGAATTAGAATATAAAATTTATAATTCTGTTCTTCTGAAATTCTATTTTAGAAGAAACACTCTTTTTGGAAATAAATGTGGTCGATAACTTGTGACCCGTGTCTTGGTGCAAGGCCCCCCCTGCAGCAGATCAGGAAAACCAAGAGGTTCACCACTAGCTTCCGCTGTATTTCTCACATCCCTAAAAACCTGCAATGATGAATACCAAACTTTACATTTGTTTCAAGGACTAATTGTGATCTTAGGGTAATGGTAAGCTTTTCTCCCACAGGGCATTTGGTGGCAAAACTTAGCCAAGTGTCTATAGTGATCTCAACAGGAGACTGCCACCTGCTCAGTGTTGCAAAGCTCAACTCTTCGCACCTAACCAAGCATTTTCTCAAGTGTGTGTGTGTGTGTGTGTGTGTGTGCGCGCGCGCACATATCAAAAGGTACTGTTTATAGAACAAATATCCCCACCTTAGGAAAAAATACCCCATCATAAAGACTGTTCTTTCCTTAGTGCAAATGTTTTGATAACTATAAGGAATTTTCATCTGTTTGTAGACATCTTCATTACCACAAATAATAGAAATATAATCAAAACATACTGAGTGAACATAGGCTAATGCGTGAAAGATGAAAAGACCACAGCAGGAGGCAGAGTTTCCTAATAAATGCTGTCACAGTAATCGAAGCTGTCCTGCTTTAAACTGTGCAGCATACAAGGTCAAGCTACAATTTCAGTGCCCAGCACCAGCAAAGAAGAGAGCAGTCAGTTAAGGCTTGGGGTTAAAAGTCACAGCAGCACTGAGAGACGCCACGGTCCCACAAGGATTACCCCAGCGTGGACAAAAGAAAGCCCAGCGTCTCTGGCTACACTGGAGTAGGCCTTCCTTTATAACAAGAATGCACGTGTAATCTCAACAGCAACAACGGAAGGCAGGGAGCAGAAATAAGTGTTAGATTTAACATGCTTCCGTATTTATTGGAGTTCTCAAGTTTGGTTTGTACCACAGTAGAAGCATTTTTCCTATTAATCCTAATTTATTTACTTCATTTTATTACAGACATAGAAACATTGTTTTAAGAAGGGTAGCCACTGTTTTATCAAAAAGTACAGCACATCAACTAGAAAACTCCATTTGTCCATTTAAAATTTAGGGAAACAATTCCATTGTACTTTAAAAAGTGATTTAATAATCCCTTCCAGTTCCATTTTTGAGTAGTTTAAATTTTTAATCAAGGTTTAAAGTAGATCGAATTTTTGATTTGTAACTTTCTGGATTTATCCAATCCTCTGCTTCACTAGGCAGAGGGCTGTGCTGGACACTGACGGCATTTGAAGAGGAAACTGCATCCTGACACTGAGTTTCAGGACCATAAGAGGAGCCGCCATAGCGGGCAGCTAGCACATGCAGCTTGAGACACAAATTAGAAACAGCCCAGGACAAGAAAGCAAGAATTTACACACATGTAAGACCATCCATGCTGAGCAGGTGGTGTTTATATATTTAGGAATATATGCATATATAAAAAATTATGTATACTAGAAAAGGCAAGAGGGTGCATGTAAATAGTTCAAGAAAGGAAAGGGAATGGCAAATTGATACAATTATGTTCTAATTTCAAGAAGTTAAAAGAGGAAGCAAACAATTCAGATAATCTAAAAATGAAAGTGCATTAAGTTTTAGTAATCCCTCAAGAATGTTTAAGGGGAAAATTCAGGATATTTAATGAAACTGAATTTAGTCTTGGAACATTTTCTCTGTACAAGTGGTTCTTCAGGACCACAAGGGGTTGGTCCACCCACAGAGACAGTGTGCCTGAGCTAATGGGAGCTCACCAACTCCAGCTGGACTGGGACTGAATGAGCATGTGATCAAACCAGACTCTGAATGTGGCTAACATTGGGGGAAGACTGAGGGGCCAATGATAATGGCACTGGGATTTGTCTCTACTACGTGTACTGGCATTTTTGGGGTCCTATTCTATTTGAATGCATACCTTCCTAAGCCTGGATAAAGGGGAAGGTCCTTGGACTTCCCACAGGGCAGGGTACTTTGCCCTCTCTTAGGACTGGAAGGGGTGGGGGGAAGGGTATGTGGGGGAGCGGGAGGGAAGTGACAGGAGGGGAGGAAGTGTAAACTTTGACTTGTATTATTTATAAAGTAATTCTATACCCAGCCAAGCTAGTATTCACTATCAATGGAGAAAACAAGACATTCCAGGATAAGAACAAATTTAAACAATACGTAGCCACAAATCCAGCGCTACAGAAAGTAATAGAAGGAAAATCGCAACCCAAGGAATCCAACATTGCCAACACTGACTACAATAACTCAGGAATCTAGCGAACCTTCACCAGCACAACTCAAAGAAGGGACACACACAAACTCTACTACCAAAAACAGTAAGAATAACCGGAGTAAACAACCACTGGTCACTAATATCACTTAATATTAATGGTCTCAATTCACCTATAAAAAGGCACAGGCTAAGGGATTGGATACGAAAACAGGATCCAACATTCTGCTGTTTGCAAGAAACACATCTCAACCACAAAGACAGGCATCTACTCAGAGTAAAAGGTTGGGAAAAGGTCTTTCAAGCAAATGGTCCTAACAAAAAAGCAGGTGTGGCCATACTAATTTCCAACAAAACTGACTTCAAACTAAAATCAATCAGAAGAGATCGAGATGGACACTTTATACTCATAACAGGAACAATTCATCAGGATGACATCTCAATCCTGAATATCTATGCCCCTAATATAAAAGTAATAATAATTAAAAAAAAAGAAAAAATATTTTTTAAATTTCAAAGTATCTGATACAATTTCTTACTCATTCCATCACTTTTGCTACCTTGGGCCATTTTTTTTCAATTATAATTCACGAGATTTATGAAAGCTTCCAGGGCAGAGCCAGCCTGCAGGATTCCTTCCTATGGCACACTTCTGTATATGTGCCCACTCACTCCAGGTTGCAGCTCCAAACCAAAGCAAGTCGGATATGGAGCAAAATAGGAAAATCAGAACAGGGCTGGAGAGATGGCTCAGCAGTTAAAACCACTAGCTGCTCTTCCAGAGGACCTGAGTTCAATTCCCAGCATACAGGGCATCCCACAACCTTCCAGAACATTTGAATCCCCCCCCCGACACACACACACAATAGATACAGACAAAACAGCAACGCACATTAAATAAATAACCAAGCAAACAAATAAATCTTAAAAAGAATTCAAACCAACCAGCATGATAAAATGTTTCAAAGCAATATTCAGAAATGAATGAAAGACAGCTGCTTTTTAACTTTTGACTGACAATCTGGTACACATTAAAACAGATAAAGAAATTTCATATTTATATTATAAACTATTCATGAATATACTTAGATTTTCTTCAAAATAAAGCTGTGGAATATAAAGTTATTTAGTTAGTCATTATTCATTCATTTCATTGAATTCATTTATTTGAATTCTTTTATCTCTGTATTTTTAATTTCCTCTTTTTGAGACAAGCTCTCATACAGCACAGATTAATCTTGAATTTGCTACGTGAATAAGTATGTCCTTGACCTCCTGATCCTCTTGCTTTATCTCCTGAGTGCTGGGATAACAGGTGTGTGCCATAACCCTAGCTTGATTTATTTATTTTTGCAACAGGGTGTCCCTGCTCTAGAACAGACTGGTCACAAACTTGGCAACCCCCGCCTCCTGAATGC